TAAATTTTTAAATCCAAGCATGCGATCTAGTTTTCATTTTGATTCAAACAGCTAGATTGATTCAAACAGCTAGATTCTGCTGATCTGGTAGCCAAGCAAGATCAAAACTAATGTGAATCATAAGCTTCTTTTGTATTTCCTACTTAATTCAAGTTAAAGCCTTCGTTGTAATAGAAGTTTCATCATATTTGTTACGTCGCCAAAAGAGCATCACTCAAGCATTTACTTTTGATTATAGACAGGCAAAGATGCTCTCGTTTCTCTATTACCGTAATAATAGACGGTATACTATCAAAGCTGTTAAGACTTCTGTCTAATCTAATTCATTAGCTATTTACTTACTTGGCGCTGGTCCTGGCGGGGTAGGTGTAGGATTACATTTGTTGCACGTCAGCGGACACTGTTCAGCCATTAGTTGGCGGTAGATAGGATTTTCACATAGATGCTTACGTTGAGGGCAGTCCGATATGCCGGTTCTTGGATGCACAAAGTCCTGGCATGGTGGAGTTGCTGAATCCAAATAAGTTAGACAATGTTTACATTTTTTTGTAATTTAGTCAATAGATAGAAACAAAGGATATCTCAACTTGTCTACCATTTGTTAGGTCATCCAGCAAATAACCCTAACTCTCAAATCAAGGTTCGGTGGGAAATTTAGTTGACTCAACAAATAAATTTCTTAAGGTTGCCAAATTATTTCTTGTCCTTTTTCTTATTGTCAATGGACAAAATAATGTCGAAGCTGTTTAGATCACTATTGAAACCAATTTTTTAGGACTTTTATCTCGCATGGCGCTGGTCCCGCCGTGGTAGGTGTAGGATTACATTTGTTGCATGTCAATGGGCACTGCTCAGCCATTAGTTGACGGTAGATAGGATTTTCACACAGATGCTTACGTTGAGGACAATCTGATACACCTGTCCTTGGATGGACAAAGTCCTGGCACGGTGGAGTCGCTAAATCCAAACAAACTTCGGAAATTGATCATTCACCCTAATTTGTTGTTAAGAATAGTAGGATATGTCCGATTGTGGTAGGTCTTGGCATGTTGAAATTGTTAATTGATATCTTTATAATCTCGGCATGAAGTTTGATTTAGATTTTGTAGAGGACTCAACAAATGATTATTAAAATAAAGTTT